TCCTCCATCATCCGCTGATACATGCTTCACTTTAAAAGTAGCTCCATTACGCCATTCACTGGGCAGTTGAGCCTTCCCTCTTGTACTGGATTTTGACATATGACGCTAAACCGTTGAAGAACCACGTTCACTCCTTGCATCCCCCGTCTATATGATCTAGCTGTTATTACTCAGATCATGTGAGGAACCAATAGTTATGCCACCATGTCCACGATCAGGATTAAAGGCCTTGAATAAACCTTCCTTTATTACCCTTTACATTGGCCACGCCCTGCTCGAAACTGCAACCTGGCTTTTAAAAACTTAATGTAGCCAACAGACATTGATTATTGAACATCTACACTCATTTATACAAATTTAACAACACATAAAAAAATATTTTTACAATTACTGTCACATATCAATTGACTTGATATTTTAATTAATTGCACTATGCATTATTCTTCAAATCTAATCATAATATAGGAAGGCGTCACCATGATCTATCATCGTATGAAGTATGCAAAACACATGCTCCCATGATTATGGATGCACAATGGAGAACTATGGATTACGGCATCCCACTTTGGTTATTGTGGCAGTGAGGCCATTGCCTCTATACTCTAATTCTTAACATTCCAAAGCTCCCTATTTTCTGGGATGCGTACACTATGCTGATTTGTTTAGTCCGTCTACTCCTACCTCACTTTTTTTAAAAAGTTTGAAACTATATTTAAAGAAAAATATTTGGGAGTCACTAATTAGTGCCCCACTAATTACGCGCCGGTGACAGATGGCTGCCTCCGTCATTAATTTACTGTGTGTTTTTAGTTTTTGGAGTTGTCATTTTTATTTATTTCTTATTTTTTTAATACATTAGTTACTCATTAGTTGGTGATATTTAATGGGCATGAATCATTGTTGATATCTTACAAATATATAAACTTGAATCTAGATTGGACTTCTTGAACTCACTTAGTAAAATGGGCTGGACTCTAGGATTCTTAAAACCGAAAAAAATGCCCTAACACCCCCAAAGGGCGGTCATTGGGGGTCTTCTCCCATTGGTCAAAACCTGTTTTCCCTTTTTTTTTTTTTTTTTTTTTTGTTTTCCAAACGACATGCACGGTGCGGTGACACCTCACTGGGGTTGTCAGTCGAGGGTCACCCAGTGGGGCTCTTGTTAGCATTCGGGCCCATTCTTAAACTCACCTCAACATAATTATTTACATACTATCTTTATTGTAATTCTATACATAAATGCTAAGCATTATATAATCTTATTAGGTTTCATTTATGCTTAAATTATAGATACACTTTAAAAAGGAAAATTGCACCTTTACTAATTTCAAAACTTATAAATAATAAAATAAAAATTTAAATAGTTGGACCAACTTATTTTATAAAATTGATTATACTTAATTATATATGAGTTCTATTGCCGGAAGGCTTGGAAATTTAATAATATATTTTTAGGTTGGTTTTATTTTTTATTTTTATTTTTAACAATTTAGGGTTGCGTCTTGATAATTTTGAACTTTTAGACTTTGATATTTGGGCTGACCCCCCGGGTCAAAATTTTTTTTTTTGGCGGGCGGGGGCGGGGCCGTCAAAACCTTGGCACCAAATTTCTTAAGTTAGGCTCGCCCAAACCTGATATAGCCCCGATTGCCATCGATGCCCACTCCTACCCTACTCTGGATCCATTACTGTTTACTGTAACTTTTGTTCTGATTGCTCAATTTTATTTGATTGTACTACTTATATTTTTAATATTAAAATTTTAAGACTACGATTTTACATCCATATGATAAATAACTTACTAGAGTTAAAATATACATATTTAGATATTGATGGCCATTGATTTTTAGTAGAAATTGTAAACTAAAAATAGAAGAATGGTGCCATGTACAAACTGTCTATAGATATGCCAAATTTTTATATCTATTTTCCGAGAGTATGTATCATAGTATTATTTCTATTTTTATTGTATGTAATTTTTTTGTCAAAATGTATTATATAAAATTTATAGATATTTTTAAATAACAAATATAATTTGCAATAATTAATCTTTTAAAACCTTAACAAATCTCACTACAATAACTAAGAGAGATAAATTCATTTCTCTGATTTCCTGCTATAAAAGAGGGAGACGGTGGTGGTCTCCCTATCTCTCCGATCTCCCTCTCCTCTCATTTCCCTTCCATTCAATCCTCATGCGATCTTCTTTCAGATTTGGTCTTTAATTCAAATATGATTTGACCTCACCAATTTGGTCATCACTACCTTCTCCATTCTTGAATTCAAAATTTTAAGATCTGGGTACAAATATTCTCACAATCCGAAAGCTAACGGTGGATAACGCGTTTATTCCATACTAGACGACCACTTTAATTTCAATATTCTATCTTGACCAGCAGAAAGTGGAGTCTTCAAATTCCAAGTTGAATGCTGCAGAGCAGCGGAATTTTGGATAAGTTCGATGGCAACTTGAATGTGGTGTTTTTTTCTGCTTGGTTTTCTTAATTTTTAACTTGTTGATGCAATAATCCTTCATGTGTAGATGTTTGTTTCCATCCTTGTGGAGGATTTTATCCTCCTTTATAGAGACTTAGATTATTTATTCTATGAAGATTGTTTTTTTATTTTTAAGATTTTGTGATAGTGTTGCATCGGATTGATCCAAACTTTTATCAACGAAAATTTTATTCCCTTTCAAAAAAAAAAAAATAGTGATTTCTCTCGATTTAACCCTTTCCTTTTTCTTTTCTACCTAGAAAATGTGCTAACGCGAGCATTTTCTATTCAAACTTGTAATGATAAATGACCAAATGAATACATTGTAGGGTTGCAAACAAGTCGAACTGAGTTCAAGCTTGGCTCGTTTACTTATTGAGCTCGAACTCAGCTTGGCTCAATAATATTTATGAAACTCAAGTTTGGCTTAGCTTAACTCAATAAGATTTTGTGTTTTTAATTATTTATATTATTTAATACATAAATAATATATTTATTATATAATTTAAATAAAAATAAACGAGATGGAGCTCGAGATCGATTTATTTATTAAATGAGTCTAATATTCAAGTTTGAGTTTGACTCGTTTACTGAACGAGTTAAGCTCTTAACACGTCGAATCGAGCAAATTGAAGAACAACTCAATCCGTTTGCAACATTGAAACACGGGTTAAAGTATGATAATTTAATTATTACAATTAAAAGATAATGGATTAAAATAAAAAAATAAATTTAAGATAAAAATTTGAGAGTAAAAAGTATTTTTTACCTTAAAAAAAAAAAGGTGCATAAACTTATTTAATTAAAATTTATTTACGTCTTTCCATTTTTTCGCAAAACATTGAAATCAAAAAACAAAAACAAAAACAAAAAAGGGGCAAATTACCTACACTTCCCTCGAGATTTAACGAAATTACAGATTCTTCCTGAGATTTCAAAAATTACATTTTGTCCAATCGCAATTAACGCCGTTAACGAATATCATAAATTGACTAAAATGCCATTTTGACAAATAAGGGCAAATTACCCACACCCCATGAGGTTTAGCTAAATTACAGATTCTCTCCTGAGGTTTAGTTAATTATCATTTTTAAATAAGTTATGAAATACAAAATTAAAATAGAAAAGCACTTATCACACTACAAAAAATTAAGATTTTAGACACCAAAATTTAGGGACAAAATTATTTTGAGGGGACCAAATATTTTTGTTGCAAAAAGTGTCGTTATTATATTTTTAGCAATGAAAATTGAATATTAGTGGTTAATTATTATCTTTTTGGTATCAAATTTTTTGTCTAAAAAAATAAACTATTTTGAGACTAAATTATTTTGTTCCTAAAATTCTATTTATGATTGACATTTTCAAAATTTTATCATTAAAAGCCTTATTTTTAATTTTTCAATTAGCGACTACAAAATTTTTACTTTTAGAGATTAAAAAACTGGACTCTAAAACTCTTATATGTTGTAGTGTCAGATGGTGAAAATATCATAAAATTAAATAAGTTAAAAATATAAGAAATAACTCGTCAAAAAATTCTTAAAATATGTTTGGTTTGATTTTTAGAAATTTGTTTTTAAATTAAAAATAATAATTTGATTAAGAAATAAAAAATAATTTTTTTAATTATTTTTATATCATTTTATTTTTTGAGTGGTTAGAAATATATATATATATATATATTTTAAACTCTGAATTTTTTTTCTAAACAAAAATCAAACATGGTTTAAAAAATTTAATTTTTTTTTTTTCTATTTAATGTAATTCTTTTATAAATTTTGTTAATTTATCAAAGAGATTTTAACAAAGACAATATTATGTATCAATTTATATTTTGATGATGTCAATTAATTATTCTTAATGTTTAATTAACGGTATAAATTAAATTATTATGTGAATATAAAACTTGAGTTTTTAAAATCTCAAAAAAAATTTATAATTTAGCTAAATCTGAATATGGTGCAGGTAATTTGCCAAAAAAAATAGGCTTGTTTTGTTTTCAACTTGGAAGTAGAACTAGGGCGGGGTCCCATCCATGGCCTCAACCCACCTTGCCGCCTGCCTCACCATTTCCCTTCTTCTTCTCCAATCTCTGCATATCTCTTCATATTCTTCTTCTTCTTCATCAATCCTCAAGCTTTCGAAACCCTAACAATTTAAAAATAAAAAATAAAAAATCCCATATTCATGCATGGAGGAGTCCTCTGCATCATCGCCATCCATTGCTGTACCACCACAATGATACGAACCTCAACAGCCACAACAACATCAACATCAAGAGCCACTCTCATCACCAAGCTCACAGGTCAGTCCTCTCTCAAATCACTATCTTCAATCGCTCCACTCACCGAACCACCTCCACCCTCCGACCACCACCACCACCCCTCGCCGCCGCCACTCGATCTCACCGCCACCCAACTCTTCTCTCTCCTCTCTCTCCCTAATTGGCAGAAACACCCTTCATTCAAGAAGCTAATCCCCTCCATATCCCCATCCCATCTCACCTCTCTCTTTTCCAACAATCCAAATCTCAACCCCAACACTGCCCTTGCTCTGTTCAATTTTCTCTCCCTAAGGCCCACCTTCAAACCCAATGTCCAGTCCTATTCCTCTCTACTCTCCATTCTCATACGCAATCGGTTCCTGGGCATCGCGGAAAAGATCCGTGTTTCGATGGTCAAATCGTGTGAATCGGTTGAAGATGCACAATTCGTGTTGAATGTGTTGAGAAAGATGAATAAAAACAATGATGGTGACGGTGAACTTCAATTTAAGCTCACTCTTAGATGTTATAATATGCTATTGATGTCATTAGCGAGGTTTCTCATGATTGATGAAATGAAGAGTGTTTATGTAGAGATTTTGGATGATAAGATTTCGCCCAATATATATACTTTTAATACTATGATTAATGTGTATTGTAAATTGGGGAATGTGGCTGAGGCGAGGTTGTATTTAAGTAAAATTTTGCAAGCCGGATTGAACCCGGATGTGCATACATACACATCGCTGATATTAGGCAATTGTAGGAGAAAGGATGTAGATAGTGCTTATACGGTGTTCAAGGTTATGCCGCAGAAGGGTTGTCGAAGAAATGAGGTTTCTTATACCAATCTCATTCATGGGTTTTGTGAAGCTGAGAGAATTGATGAAGCTCTCAAGTTGTTTTCCCATATGGGGGATGATGATTGTCATCCGACTGTCCGGACATATACTGTTTTGATACATGCATTGTGCGGATTGGGTAGGAAAATGGAAGCATTGAATCTTTTTAAAGAGATGATGGAGAAAGGTTGCGAGCCAAATGTTCATACTTACACTGTTCTCATTGATAGCATGTGTAATGACAAGAAGCTTGACGAAGCCAGGAAAATGTTGAATGTGATGTCAGAGAAAGGGTTGGTTCCAAGTGTTGTGACGTACAATGCTTTGATTGATGGGTACTGTAAGCAGGGAATGATTGATGCTGCATTTGAAGTATTTGATGTGATGGAGTTGAATAATTGCAGTCCCGACGTTCGCACATACAATGAGTTGATTTGTGGGTTTTGTAAGGATAGAAAGGTTCACAGGGCAATGGCACTGCTTAGTAAGATGGTTGGTCGGAAGCTGTCACCGAGCCTGATTACTTATAATCTGTTAATCCATGGACAGTGTAAAGAGGGTAATCTAGATAGTGCTTTCAGGTTGCTTAATTTGATGAATGAGAATGGTGTGGTACCCAACCAGCGGACTTATAGTGCTCTTATAGATACTTTATGTAAACATGGGAGGGTGGAAGAAGCTCATTGCCTACTTGATTCTCTCAAGGAAAAAGGCATAAGGCCAAATGAAGTGATATATACTGCTTTAATCGATGGGTATTGCAAAGCAGAGAAAATTGATTTTGCGTCCAGTTTGTTGGAGAGGATGCTTACAGAAAATTGTTTTCCAAACTCTTGGACTTTCAATGTGTTGATAGATGGATTGTGCAAAGGGAATAAACTGCATGAAGCCTCACAACTACTGGAAAGGATGGTGATTGGAGGTGTGAAGCCCACAGTTGTTAGTTATACGATACTCATTGAGCAAATGTTGAAAGAATATGCCTTTGATGATGCCGACAAAGTTTTTGACCAAATGGTCTCCTTAGGATATAAGCCTGATGTTTGCACTTACACTCCATTTATTCTTGCATATTGCAAGCAAGGGAAGTTGAAAGAAGCAGAAGATGTGATGGCTAACATGAAGGAGAAAGGTGTTCTGCCTGATTTGATGACTTATACAGTATTAATTGATGGGTATGCGCGAGCAGGATTGATACATCGTGCTTTTGATATTTTCAAATGTATGTTTGATGCCGGATGTGAACCTTCTCATTATACCTATTCTGTTCTAATCAAACATCTATCTAGCGGGAAGTTGTTGAAAGAAAGTAAAAATAGAATAGCACAAGAATTGAATCCAAATGTCACCACCATCAATATTGCTGATGTATGGAAAATAATGGAATTTGATACTGCTTTGGAGCTGTTTGAGAGTATGATTGAACATGGTTGCACACCTAATGTTAACACTTACAGTGCACTCACTACAGGTCTTTGCGGAGAGGGGCGCTTTGAAGAAGCCTCAAGGTTGGTGGATCATATGAAGAAAAGAGGAATATCTCCCAGTGAAGACGTTTATAACTCTCTTGTTAACTGCTACTGCAAATTGGGAATGTACAGGGAAGCATTGAGGATGGTAGATACTATGGTTGGATGGGGTTTTTTACCACATCTAGAGTCCTACAAGCTTCTTGTTTGTGGGTTATATGATGAAGGAAATATCGAAAAGGCAAAAGCAGTTTTCTGTAGTTTGCTTCATCAAGGATACAATCATGACGAAGTGGCTTGGAACGTTCTGATTGATGGCTTACTTAGGAGGGGTCTTGTTGATATATGCTCTGAACTGGTAGACATCATGGAGGAAAAGGGGTGCCAACTTAATCCTCACACACATTCAATGTTGACTGAGGGACTTCTTTTTGATACAACAGAAGGACATAAAAGTTAATATTTATTTTATTTTATTTTTTTGTATTTCAGTGAGATTCTTTAAAATGTGTTGCAAGAGCTCTATCTGGTTGGTCTCAGATATGATTGGGTCAAGAGTTCTCTTTTCAGAAGGGACTTCTGGATATAAAAAGATGGGAAGACATGAATTTTCCAATTTTCTTGAGATTTTTTACATTTTGGCCAAGAGTTCTCTTTGGTTGGCCTCCCACATAAATTGGTGGAGGCTAAAAGTATACAGATGCGGAACCAATTCTTTGGCACACATACTCAAAATTTCTTGATTTAATTGTTCTCAATAATCAAGCAGTTGTTATATGGGAAGCACTCCCATATATCATTTGGATATCCCAAAATCTGATTCTACTAGTAGCCCCACACAATGTAAACAAATGTCAATGACAAGCATGAGGCAAGTGACCGTTTACCAAAAGTTTCTATTTTCTTCCTTATCCTTTCTGTCTTGTCTTGTTTTCCTTCTTTTAGATGAATCATTTTTGTGTTTTTCGCAAGCAATACAGAAAGAATGCTCTCTTTTTGGTGGTTACTGATGGTACATTTGCACATACGAGAAGCTGACCTAGATTGAAACTAAAAGATAAATGAGGTAAAGGAATTTATGGGTATGAATTACATATTTTTCCCCTTTCCGTCTTTCACTACTTAGACATTATCTAACCTTTTTTTGGTCAATATTCAGTCATTCCAATCTAAAGTACTTTAACATTTTTTAGTTCAATCACAGTCGATGTAATTGTTCTGATGTCCTGGGGTCTGCAACTGCTACACTCTACCCCCTGTTCCTCTGATTTGCATTCCGGACTCTAAATTATGTTTTTCTTTTTTGACTGCCATTACCTCAGTCTCTTTATTCAGCTATGAGTCACTGGGAACTCATAATTTCACCTCCTTAAACCCTTAAAGGAACCCAGCCAAAACAAAAACAAAAACAAAAAAACTCTTAAAAGAAAGAAACTATTACTGGTTTTACGTGATATGGTCATGTGCCGTACAAAAGTCTTCCAAGTATGACTTTTATATTCATTTGAAAACTTGCAAAATGTGTGTTTTGTTGTTGTTGTTGAGAAATGAATGAAATCTAGGTGCTCTTCTTATTGTCATAAAAAATTTGAGGGAGAGAGAGAGAGAGAGAGAGATTGGTAACATACTTTTGTATCCGTTTCCCTTTCATTAGATTTTAAAAATAAGTATCTAACCACAAGAAAAGATATATGAACTGAAAAATCAGTATCTTGATTTCAATGTTCAAATTGCCATTTTTCATTCTTCACAGCTCTATTTTTTAATTTCTGTCTGCAAAAATTCTTTAGGAGATGAAAGAAAGAGGAGCTTGGACTGATAGCTGATCAGAAATTTACATTTGTGTCCTGGGAAGAGGGTAAGTGACTTAAAAGAGAACTTTCTTGTATTTCAGTTTCTAAAACTATTGAACAAACAAAGGGTTTACTTTATCTTCCTTGAGTTCTTTTGAGCAAAGTTGGAAAAGATTTCATTATTCTTTTCTCTTCTTTTCGCTGGATTAACTTTGTTTATCCGAAGCTTCTTCTTTTCTTTCCGTTTAAATTCCATGAAAAAAAATAAAAAATGATGTGTGTATTCTATTTGTAGCAGTGAGGCAACAGCAGTGAGATCTCCCCCTTGGATTAGCAGCACATAGAACAGCAATAGAAGAGTGGACTAGATCTCTACATTTTTTTGGCAAAGGAAAATAATTCGACTTTGTGGTGTACAGAAAGACATCTTCGCCTCCACAGAAGTCTGGCATTGTGTTTGGTTGGTATGTTGTTAGCGTCTCTCACATTACTATTGACAAACAACTGATGCAAGCTAATGTGGGGGTGTATATGGTAATTGTAAAAGTTCAGTTGAGAGGAAGAAGATGAATGCAAAAGAGTTGCAAAATAGTGCCGAGTGTATACCCTTCTCAAATGCATTGTGTATACATGGTATCACAAATATGTTACATAAACATAAGCTGTATATTTTCACAGCTAGAGACATACATTTTTAAGGTTACATATTGAATGACAATGCTTTTTTCTCATCCTTGTTTGACATTCTACATGGAATGTGGTATGTTGTTGGAGGTGTTATCTTTTATTCCTTTTTTGTACATTGGAGGAGCGACTCAGACCCGACCTTCTATTGAAAAGGTGCAGGAGTTGGCTTCGAGATGTTACCTTATATTTTTCTTTGCTTTTTCATTTATAGATGAGTGACTTTTTAGAGGATATCTTGTCTTTTCATCCATGATTTCATGTGATATGGGATGTGCTTGATTTTTACAAATCTTGATTGAACCATTTAAATCTTTAGGTCTGTTTTTTATAGCTCAAAAGATTGTTACAAATTAGTGATAATTAGCATTTGCTACAAATATAGCTCCAAATGAAAAAAGATTTATTGATAATCTAGTTTTTGTTTCTTTCCGAATTGTGGACTGGTAGGTTTAACTTGTAATTTTTTTTTTGAAAGCATGAAAAGCATTTATATTAAAATAAAATAAACATTATATAAATTAAAAAGAAAAACAAGAATACCTTAAAAGGTCAAGTGAACAATCAAACTACAAGCAATAAAAACGAATTTGTTAAAAAATCAGTTACGAGGTAGAAAAAATCACCGATCTCTATCAAACCAAGTAAGGGTTGCATCAACACCTATTGCTGTCCAACTCTATCATCGCCGTCACTGTACTTCAGACACCGCTTGAAGTTAGAGTTGAACACCCACAATGGAATGGGAGAAGGCTTGAAAGAAGAGGGAATCATTGTGGGTGTCGAAAAGCTAAAAATTTATACCGAAATCGGGAGAGAAACACTCAAAACCTTTATTCCAGATATAAAAAACTTATTTCTATACTCTAGAAGTTCAGATCTATACTTTAGGAGTGTAGATTTACATTTTAAAAGTGTAAATGAGGTTGCCAGAATATCCCCGAAGCATTGCCAAAAATCTCTAGAGAGAAGCTCTCTCTCTTTGGGCCAAACAATTAACTAGTAAAAGTTGAAGCTACCAAATGTGGGTTTAAACTATAGATAGCTGCTCTTTGCCTAGGCAAATCAAGTCAATAAATATCCATTATCCAATAATACCATACAAGTCAATAATATATGCTTTAATGAATAAAAATAAAAAGCCCTTCAAATATATGATCTTTAGGTGAGGATGTAAAACGTTATGATTTGATTCATAGTGGTATGAAACAAGCTTTTTTGCGAAAGCCAACCCTCTATTTTATCTCCAACCCAAAACCGTGAACTTGTTCAATTTGAATCTGCTTAAAACTTGTACAGACTTATAAATGGGTCCTAACTGGGTTGCATGAATTACACCCATTTAAAAATCCATTAAAATAGGTTGGACATGTAGTCGTAAAAACCAAACCATGAAGAAATTCAACAACGAGCTGCAAAATTTCAGGACTCAAACTCAAGCAAACCTTCCAGAGTTCCATTGTATATAATAGTGAAACCTTAGTGGAACATGAGAGCTGATTTCAAGGAAGGCAATCAAAACTCTATTTACCCAAATCCAAATAAAAACCACCATAATGATATGATAAAACTCATCTTACAATTGCACATTCCACAAAAAGTTTTATTTTTTGTGTTCTCAAAGGTTTAGATCAAATCTAAATTAGAAGCACAATAACTACTTAAAGAGAAAACATAAGGACCACAAAACAAAATGACAACACTTTGTTTGGGCAAGAACAGAACAGAATTTGTAACGCCAGCAAAACCTTTTTTTTCTAAAGCGGCATGCAACATAAATTTATTGTCTGAAGAAACCGAAGATCATGATCCAACAAACGCACTGCATCCCATAGGGAGGGGAGACAAGGGATTTTAAATCAACTTGTGAATTGTTTTCATATCAGCAGCTTCCTGGAGGGTCCCTTTTTCCACATTGTCCCACCACTTGAGCAAGAAGTTATCCACAACTAGTCTGAACCATGGGGACAGCTTCAAAGCCCCCTCACCAGCATCTGCTTTTCTCAACAGCTCTTTCAACTCATCCCGGTTCACATATTTGACATCAGCAACTTCATCAGGGTTTGGATTCACATTAACATCCCGGACAATGAACAGTAGGTAGTCAACTGCAAATAGAGTATAAGAGATTTAGCATTGAATTATACCAAAAAAATAATAATAATTCCATGATCAGTTCTCTAATGTATATAACATGTCAATGAAATCAAGTCAAGACAGATTCAACAATTAACAACTGAGCTGACTAGCCACGCTTGTCAAATTTTGAGATCAAATTTTGAAAAACTCAGGGCTTTAGGCAGATTCTGGAATAACACCTCTTTTTGGAAGAGGAAATTTATCATCTCTTAAGAAACTATTCAGAGGCTGATCATTGATGACTAATAACTCTACCATGTAAAGACATAGTCAAATAAGAGAACGGAAAAAACTACCGCTGGTAGAGATTATCAATCTCATCAAATATTTGGCATCATTGCAACTTTGAATTAGGTTAAATGGATTTTCAGGCAGACCAATGGTCAGATGCATCACGGTCTTAGTTCAGAATTTATGAAAAAGACGAGCAAATCAACAGATACAAACATGCTGAGGTTCAGATTGAATTAAAGCAAGAGTTATTACGTTCATGCTCTCCCCACTTCCCATCAGATGGTGCCTTGTACAACATGCGACCCAATGGGGTGAACTGATCAACT